TATTGATACATGTTTAAATCCAATCTAAGCTTTTGTCTGACATAAGCCATTATCAAAGATGACAGTTACTTTTCAATATACCAACCAATACACAGGGGAAACAATAATGATAGTCTGTTTTTGTTGCATGAAAAATTTCAAAGCAATGACTAAATCGTGTATATGAGACGTGGAATCGAAAATCGCGTTGCAGCTTGTGACGTCACACATGACCACGTGAGAGTGAAAACGAGAAGTATTAAGTATGGGAAGCCGTTGGTAAACTATATATATATATATATATATATATATATAAATATATATATATATCATCAGATACAAGATATAGCTTGATGTTTTTTTTAACATGCAGGGGATCATTGTAGGAATGCCGCCACATAGTTCTAAATTATGATGGTGCAAAAAAAAATTTGAAAAATTTGAATGTGAGACGTAGTTTGTTAACCTATAAAGTGGACAGTGTGGAGTTAAAGGGAGATAATCAATGTGAGACTAAAATAATTAAGTTGAAAAGGGATTTAACCAGGGTTACAATATTTTAGAAGCATTTTTCTCTGTGTACAACTAGACATAAGCTCATTTAGTTTAATATTGTGCTTTCTTTTATTTAGTGCGTCAACATATTTAGTTTTTTAATTGTCAAAGATGTGTTTATTACTGGAGTTGGTAGAGAGCTTATGTTGCACAGATTTGTGTAGGTTATTAAGGATACTAGGTGGGTGGTTAGATTCTTTACTATTGTATAGATATTATTTGACACCCCCCCCACCGAGCCAGGTCAGTTTTTAACATGGGGACCCGAGTGAAAGCATTTGGGCCACTGGTCTTGGCTTGTCAGAGCCGGTCCAAGCTAGTTGTAGCTGTGATACCACCAGCACAGGGATGGAGCCCTGGAGCAGGGAAGTATGATTCTTTACTAATGAATATATGGTTATAAAGTTCCTTATAAGCTATGTGCACCTCTTTGGATATATATGTATATATATATACACCTAGTGAGCCAGACCTACCTAGGTTTCACCTAAACGGATCCGTTTAGGTGAAACCTAGGTAGGTTTGTCTGGCTCACTAGGTGTATCTAGGTCTGCTCTATGGTTGTATTGAGCTCTTTTGTTAGTTAGTTGTTACTTGTATCGGGTTTTTTTTCTTTGGGTTTCAGACCTGCATCTGTGCAATTTTTTTGTCGGCAGAAGTTCATGTTTGTAGCTCTTTCTTTTTTTAAAAACCTTTTTTCCCTCGAGATTGATTTGATTAGCAAATAAAAATTTGAGGGTTTTTCTAAACGAGTCTAGTTATCTATATTTATATGTATAAAGCTCTAGGTTATCCTATCGAGCACTGTTTTAATGGAAACTAATATGGGCATATATATATATATATATATATATATATATATATATATATATATATATATATATATATATATATATATATATGTATGTATGAAGAAGAAAAATATACAGAAAAACCAAAATCCTAATATGCAATTATGCTGTTTTAATGTTAATACAATGTCAACGTCAGACGTTTCGGGTCTAGTAGACCATCTTCAGGACATATTCATAAAACATAATTAACATTAGACTATATTTAATTCAACATGAAAAGACGATGGACATAAGAGTAAGACTAATCAAAACAGATAACTGAAATTTTTCAAGATCAGCGTTCCGTTTCAGTATGATCACATTGGTGTCACGTGGGCGATGTTGTGAAAACGTATTCCTAAGATAGAGTATTTTGAATGAAAAATGAAAAGAATTTTATTTTAATCTAAAACTTATATGTACGTTTGTTGAGCATTAATCTTGCTAGAAAAGGGGAAATATTAAAGAAGCCGGGTCTAGTGTTCACCGTGCGTGAGATAGATATTATGCCTGCCTCATATGTATGTATGTATACATATATGTATATAACATTGGCAGGACGATCATTTTGCTTGTTGATAATAGTCACCTACAAAGTGCTAAAGGTGAATCAATTCATCCCAAGCAAGGCAATAATGCCACTAAGACACAAGCAGCTACTGGGAGTAAATGTGAATGAAAAGAATTTTGGAGAAGGAACCAGAAACCCAATCCCAAACAGGGAAGAAGGGATGAACCTCTACTGCTGTTCAAAAGGCCAGGGTGGGATGTAAACCAGGCGATAGGCACCCCTATCTACTTCTATAAGCTGGCAAGTTTAGGTTTACATAGGTTTTTTTTTTTCTTAGAGTGATTTCACTCATCCAGCATTTTTTGTGGTCTGGCAGTGGCCTGGTCCCAATGGCGTCAGATTAAACAGGTTGGATTGTATAATCAAAGAAACTGAAGATATTTTCAAGGCTTACTGAATAATTGTATCGTTTTCTTGCATGTTCCATGTTCCAGCCAAATTCTCTAATGGCTTTTGCTGTTTCAATCTTTAACCTGTGAGAAAGTTTTCGTATCTCTGGCTGCAGATTTTCTACTCGGGCAAGAATGTAATTTGAGTAAACAGCCAGGGGCAAAGTTATACATGATCGCAAAAGGACTGTTGTCAGGGCAATGCTGGCCCACCAAGGCAATCCTGTGAATGTGTGAATATTAACAAATAAGTCGTGGGATATTTTTATTGGTAAGAAATCTGTTGAAAAAAAATTGTAAATGGGGTCTGTAGAGAAATGTCGTTTCTGTATGAAAAAGTGTTGGCCTTTGTTAGAGGCTGTAGTAAATCCACCACTGTTTGATCCTGAGTTGTAAAGATAAGTGACACTTGAGCCACAAAATGTGGATAAATTACAGGTAGGAGAAAATCTTTTCAGCTGAGGTATACACGAGCACTTCAGAATGGCAGGACTTTTGCTTGTGTGGAGCATGCTGGATAATGGAAGCACATGTAGTTCATGTTTGAAGGGGGTCATCCGGGATCTTGTTGAAAAGGGAGGTTGTGCTTTGCAACATGTGGACACTGTAACCTGAAAACAAGAAAGATGAGATGTATATATTCATATATATGAAGTAATTTCTAAATAATTAATGGATTTCATTTTTTTTTAATCCAGCATTTTTATTACTTCAAATATTATTTTTAGTGGTTACTTGTATTTGAGTAGACGTTCTGTTTTTTTTAACCCTTAGGAGACAATAGGGTGATCTATTAGTCGAAAAGCTGAATGATGAAGAAGATGAATCCATTGGCCCAGTGGATCCATCAGCCCAATAATACAAGCCTTGAGAATTAGACTACTGATCTTCATACCAGCCAATCAGATTGCTTCTTGCATTTCTTGTACACCTGGGCCTTTCAATGGTGGATTCTATGATAGTTTGCTATGTTCTGTGATTTTATATCAATCTTTTTTTTTTTTTTTGTGTTCCAAGTAAGGGCTTGTGAAAAGGGCTTTGTCTTCTTGGCACTGAAACTCCAAATGAGGCTCCCTCTCCAAAGGGTTAAACAGTGTTTATTTAATCTAATCTATCAGCCTGTGCACTGGATAAAACTTAATAAAAAAAATGTGTGCCCTCAGGCAGGATTTGAAACTGCATCCCTCTTTGTAGGAGAAACCACAATCTGATACAGTGCGCTTTGACCGCTCAGTTACAAAGAGCTTCACAGTCAAGCAAAGTTCTAATTTGCCTTAATGCACATTTACTCAATCAGATTTTCTTGCAAGTCATATCCAAAATGTAAACAAAGCAATTTCTAAAGAATTAATGGATTTAATTTTTTTTTTTTTTAATCCAACATTTTTATTACTTCAAACATTTTTAGCGGTTACCCATATTTGAGTAGACTCTCTGTTTTTTAAGCATTGTTTATTTCATCTACCAGCCTGCACAATCTTGAGAAAACTTAATAAAGAAAATGTGTTCCCGCCCGGACAGGAGTCAAATATACATTCCCTTTTGTAGGAGAAACCACAAATTTTAATTTTCTTAAAAGACATATCTGCTTAGTTTTATATATGGAATGTAAACAAAACAATTTCTAAAGAAGTAATGGATTTTATTTTATTTTTTTTTAATCCAACATTTTTATTACTTCAAGCACTATTTTTAATGGATACCTGTATTTGAATAGCTGCTCCATTTTTACTTTGTCTTGAGAAACAAAATATGGCGTGATTTGACTGCTTGGTTACAGTGAGCTTACTGTTTAGCAAGGTTCTATTTGTCTTTAATGAGCATTCACTTGTTCATATCATCCTGGATATGGCAAGAAACTACATTTGACATCAAGGCCTCTGATCGGGACCCCTTAATTGTTAGTGTCCTAGCTTTGAGCAAATAGTTAACACCTGAACTGGGGTCAAAACACTATGAAAGTATAAAAATAGATTTTTATGTTAAAATTACCAGCAATACATTTTAAAAAATACAAAATTACCAGCAATACTTTCAACAAAAACCCTCTTTACAAAAATACGTCAATGAAACCTTGATCTACAAACTGATTTCTGACAAAGAATACATATTCTATTCATATGAATCTATCCTAAAAATCTTGTCAGCATTAAATAACCCATTGGAGGTTGATATTCCTTAAAACAAATTAAACCCTAACACTGATCTACAAACTGATTTCTTACAAAGAATACATATTCTATTCATACGAACATATTCTAAAAATCTTGTCGGCGTTAAATAACCCATTGAGGTTGATATGCCATAAAACAAAATGAACCCAAACCCTGATCTACAAACTGATTTCTTACGCTCAAATACCCTTGTGAAAGCTATGGATCCACATCTACTCTCCCCAGCTATAGGTTAATTAGTAAAATTTGTATCGCGAAACAATTATTCAAACTCTCTTTACTAAAATATGTCAATGAAACTTGATCTCCTACTGATTTCATACAAAGAATAAATATTCTATTCATACAAACCTATTCTAAAAATCTTTTCAGCATTAAATAACCCATTGAAGTTGATATGCCGTAAAACAAAATAAACCAAACTAAACTTGTTCAAATTTTCTTAAAAGCCATATCTGCTTAGTTTTATATATGGAACGTAAACAAAGCAATTTCTAAAGAAATAATGGATTTTATTTTATTTTTTTTTTAATCCAACATTTTTATTACGTCAAGCACTATTTTTAATGGATACCTGTATTTGAATAGCTGCTCCATTTTTACTTTGTCTTGAGAAAACTCAAGAAAATGTACCCATCAGCAGGTTTTGAAAATCCATCCCCCTTTGCAGGGGTAACCACCATCTGATCTGGCATACTTTGACTGCATGGCTATGGATAGCTTCACAGTCAAGATTTTCAGTCAAGTTTTCCTGAGGGCGCAGACCATTAGATGAAATCAACACTGTTTAAAAAATGCATTTTTTTAAAGAAAATCTTGAAATTATATATATATATATATATATATATATATATATATATATATATATATATATATATATCTGTTACTCAGACTTGCTTAATTTTATGAAATTTCGAAGAATTTAAATTTCAGCCTCTTATCATATATCATCATATCATATCATATATATCATACTTATTATAAAACCCAGGTTGTGTGTGTGTGTGTGTCTGTACGTTTATATATTAGATCGGATTTCCTACATTTTTCAACCGATTTCAACAAAACTTCACAGGACTACATTAAAATTACTTTTGCGGTGGTTCTGACAGCATAAAAAATTGGAAAAACACAATTGTTTTTGCACGAAATCAATTTGAAAACACGATTAAGAGGCATCGCGAGAATGAAAGGGGGACAACTCATATCGAGTTATACTTATTATAAAACCCAGGTTGTTTGTGTGTGTGTGTGTGTGTGTGTGTGTTCGTTTATATATGGGATCGGATTTCCTACATTTTTCAACAGATTTCAACAAAACTTCACTTTTATTTTGGCAGGTAGTGTTTCTTATTGTCTTGCAGACATTTTTCTTTATTTTTACATTCAGAATGCTTTAAAAATTCCATTTACAAGACAATTGTTTATAATAAAATTCTATTCAATCAGTAGACTCATAACGATTGAAAACAATGTTTTTGTTTGAGTTTGGGTTTGACCAATTCGTAAAAAAAACTAATTAAGACATGCGTGTCCGTCAACCTTAAACAATAATCTTTGTCAATTTTATTTTTCAGTCTTTATGATGGTCGATACTTGATCTATCTCTTACTGTTACATCCCCGAGCAACGCTGGGCTCTACTGCTAGTATTAATTAAAAGTAGAACTCCTTGGAGAATTTAAATCAAAAATGTGTTCTTGACAAACAGAAACATTTACTGAAAATTTAGTCTGAAATGTAAAATAAAAAATGCAGTAAAACAATGGCATTATTTAATTGCTTCCATAAATAAGATATTATAGGATACTATTGTCTTAAGAAAACAAATTAAGGACAGTATTGTTTTAAGAAAACAAATTAAGGATACTATAGTTTTAAGAAAACAAATTAAGAATATTATTGTCTTAAGAAAAAATTTTTTCGATAATGAATTTTTACAAGAATTGTTTTTTTTAAATTTTAACTAGAAAAATTTATAAAGTTTTAAATTCTTTAATTTCACCCCAAGCAAAGTGATAATGCCACTAAGACATAACGGTTTACTGGGAATGAAAGAGAATGAGAAAACTTTAGGGATTCAGGAAGACAGAGGATGGCGATTGGCATCGCATTTAAACCTTTGATGATTGTAGATAGCAGGGAAGCAAGAAATCAGAAGGGAGTTCCACAGGCAAGAAGTGCGAGAAAAGAAATTATTAGGAGAGAACATACCTTTCTCAATATGTGTGCAAGTGAATGTAATGAACCTGGCTGGAATTTGAACTCGGCTCTCAGAGTTCACATTCCGGGCCACTATCGATTACACCATGGTGTACATTACTAACATGCCTAAATTCATGCAGTAGAGGCACCAAGAGGGAAAGCTCATCCGAACAATGGCCGTGAAAATATTTGTAAAAAAGGCAGAGGGAAGCCACATAAGAAATAAATAAGAAAACAAAAAAATATTAAAAATTAAAAACTATTTCAGAAAATACAATTTTGGAATATAAAGTGACACTGAGAGTCAGAAACCAAAAACTAGTCGCAGATAATAAAACATTAATTAATGTATGAAAATTCTAGATGTATTCTTCTATGTCCATATCGATATTAATTAACTGGAACTGGACACAAGTGTGGTATCATTTTTTTGGTAATGTTTAACCTTTGTGTCTGCAAAAATGGTGTGTCAAAAAGACAGTTATTCCTTTGGGCCATTCCATGTCAATTCAACCAATCAATGTAATAGTAAAAAATAGATTGTACATTTCGATATATGTTGCAGATCTTATAGTCATTAGAAAATCCTGAAAATTTTAAGTGAAAATTCCTAAATGTTCTCAAGATGTCACAAGTTGAAATTTTGCTGAATCAGCATTTTCCATCAGAAGATATTTCTATTTTTGAACTTGGCGATCACTTAAAACTCTATTTTCTGATCCACTGGCCAGAAATTAATGAAATAGATTTTTAATTAAAGAATCCAAATATCTATTTAGTATTTTACAGAGATGCACCAAAATGTAGATATTAGCAGTTTTCTAGTGAAAAAAAAAAAAAATTTTAGGCAAATGACCACAAGGAAAAAGTAGCAAAAAGTTGCATAACATTTAAAAATTAGAGCATCTAGCGAATAAACCCCAATAAGTTTCATTAACTTTCTCTTAAAGCTACCAATTCTAGACCACTTAACATATATTTTTTTTTGCAAAATGCAGATTCAGCAAAAGTTCAACTCACGACATCTTGAGAATAGTTTTACTTAAAATTTCCAGGATTTTGTAATGATGAAGATCCACGACATATACCAAATGAAAAAAAAATTTATTTTGGGTTACATTTTTCAATTTTTTTTTTTAGCTGAATTGACATGGAATGATCTCATTGACACTTCTATTACTGCATACACTTTTGACTACCTTGGCAATGTTTATCTATAAGATTATGTGAGTAATGGATAGCAGCTTGGATTGAGGAATTGGAGAGCTGAGTTTGAATTCCAGTCGAAGCCATTAGATTCACTTACATGCTAATACCCTTGGGAAAGATATGAATCTTCTTCTTCCTCCAGCTATGAGTAAATAGGAGGACAGACTGGGTTCTATAGCCTTGGACAGCAACTGGTGTACTACAGAAAGAAATGGCAACCTACTGTAGGAAAAAAATCTGCCTCGTCAGTCGTGTATTACGCATGGCAAATAACTGAACTGAACCAAGTAAAATGCAATATTTATTGTTTACCTTTTATAAAGATTTATTTACCATTTTGTATTGGTTATTCCCTTGATACTGCTACTACTGGATAAATTTTTGACTATCCAATGGGCCACGTGTCCTTGTGGATAAAAACGTTAGTTGAAGCAATCCAAAAAATGGTTTGACCCAAAGAATTGTGAGTTCAATGCCTGGCCACAGCAGAGGAAACAAAAACTTGGATATTGGATTTACTAAAGGGAATTAACTGAAACTGAGATATCCAAAATAGGCATGGCATGTGGAATTAGAACAATCTACACCTGTGGACTAAATAATGGGTTCGGTTTGAAATTCCAAAATATATCACCTGGAGAAGGCTGGAGTGTAAAATGGACGAAACATTGTGAATATGGCAATAAAGATGAGGAGAACAGTCCAAACAATGTAAATAGCAATATTTATTATTTACCATTTTATAAATAACTATGAAAGTTTTTTAATTCAATCGTATAAATAGTGTTTAAAATCTTTGTTGTCAGTTCTCAGGAATAAAGAAAATGTATAAATTCATTTTCTTATGTTTGGGTTTTATTAAATTTCTAACCATCACTTTTTAAATATTAAATAAGTAAATCAACTACAATATTTGTGATAAAATTTCAAACACATCATTATAAGCAAAGAAAATTTTGTACATCTGATAAATAGGGAGATACACATTCAAAATACTGAGTTTTTGTTGTCTCACCAAAAATCTAAAATTAAAAGAATGTTTGGTTCAGAGGAAGAGAGGCTCGCAACCTTATTTTAGTCAATTTATGTGGTGAAAGCAAATGAAGGAATTTCCTGGAAAATTAAATTTTCAAAATCTATAATTGCATTTACTCATCATTAAATTTTCTTGTTTACAAAACACTTTTTTATAAATTTATGAATAAAGACCTTTTTTTTTTATATTTATTTATGAATTGGTAAAAAATATTTCATGATAGTCTGTTCATATATTTTTATAATCTTGTAAGCATAAAATTATTCTTGTAAATAAGAAATCTAATAAATAGTGTTTAACATCTTTGTTGTCAATTCTCAAAAATAAAGAAAATGTTTCATATTTTGTTAAAATTCTAATCATTGTATCTTAAACAATAAACATTGCCAAGTAAGTCAAATGTGTATACAGTAATAGTGGTAGGGCACCTTGAGGTGGTGTAATGGTTAGCAAGCTTGTCTCGTTAGAACTATTATGACTGAGTAGTGAGTTCGATCCTCACTAGGTGCCTCTTACTTTTGGCCTTGTGCCACATCTGAGCTACACTTGGAAAATCATTACAGTAATAGTGGTATCAACGATATAAGTGTCCTTTTGACACATTTTTTTTTTTTGCAGGCACAAAATTTGAACAATGCCCATGTTTTTCTTACTCATTTCTGTTACGGCTGTTAATGATTGATGTGCTGTGGTTCACACATAAGAAATTTACATGAAATTGCGTCTTTCAATTTTGTGGGAAAATGAAATAAAATCCACAAAAATAAGGAAAAAGAAATACATTTTTAAATGACGCTAGTAATAAAGAAACCAGAAATGTTAATATTCCACTTGGCTTTGTCAAATGCCCATTAGGGGGAAATTTTTAAGTTTACAACCTTTAAATTCTATAATTTACTTAATCAAGAAAAAATTTACCAAGTATTGAAGTAAATGGCTTGACTATTGTTTACTAGGCAGTACATCATCCTGGAGGAAGACAATGACTGAAATAAAACATTTGGCTAAATGTAAGTGATAAATATATGTACATTGCTGATAATTATTAGTGGTGAATGAAAAAATGGGGACACAAATCCAACCTTCACTTCTCACCAGCAAAAACGCATGTTTGTCCACCAAGATCAGAAAAAAAATCCTCCCCTCGTAAGTAAAAGACAAGTTTTTATTCACCGAGCGATTTTTCTGATTGGCTACACCATTCAGGAGAGGAAAGAACATTAGCATAGATTCTGATACTTAAAGTAGCAGATTTTTGCTAACTACTTTTGGTCATTTTTCTTTGGCAGATCACACGTTTGTCCACCAAGCTCAGAAAAAATCCTCCTCTTGTAAGTGAAAAGCAACATCTTTTATTCACTAGGTGATTTTTCTGATTGTCCATGCCATTCAGGAAAGAACATTAGCATAGATTCTGATACTTAGAGTAACAGATTCTTGCTAACTAATTTCGGTAACCTTTCTTCTGCAGATCGCAGGTAGGTGATTATCTCTTTAACTACAGCTACTAGATTAGCAACAAGGTCTTACTGTTTTACTGTTGCTAAATTTAACTGCCACTTTGACGCCAACAGTTTTTTTTTCTCGCACTGTGGAACCCCTTTCCATTCTTCCCTGAAAACTACAATCTTCAAAATTTTAAATGCAACTACAGGTAAAATGTATTGCTGCTTATTCTACTATAAATAGGTATTGTTGGTTAGTTTACTATAAAAATGTATTGCTAGTATTTTTACTATAAAAATGTGTTTTTATACATTCATAGTGTTTTGTTTGGTGGGGTTCATGATTTGCCCATAGCTGAGACCCTAGGTACTACCGGCCAGGGTCATGGTGAACCTGGGAACAACAGCAATTAAGAAGTGGTTCCACACTCTTCAAAACCGCTAATATCCCAATCAGATTCTTGCTGCTGGATGTAATTTATCATCATACCCAGGACTAGAGGAAACAGCAAGTAACCTACCTAATGAGCTTGTTCAAAATGGATCTCAGGACACTAACAGGGATTGGAAAGGGATAAATATTGCTTAAAGCTATAAAATATAGGAAGTTGTGGAGAGCCACGATTGCCCGCGCCCTGAACTAAAAAATAAATATATAAATCTAAAAGTATAAAAACCAAAAATATTAATGACATCCGGCCTGAAGAGACATGGCACGTGAAATTAGAACAATCTTCCCGGTGGAAGGGTTCAGTTTGAAATCGAAGTACTACAACAGCCGAAACGTCGTGAAAATGGCATCAAAGATGAGGACAACGGTTCGAACAACCTATTGTAAATAGTGTAAAATAAATAATTACAATACCTCACCTCAGAAATGTAGTAGATAGTGAAACAATAAAAACATGAAATGTTTTTTTAAAAAAACAAACAGAACAAACAAGGAACACATGCGTACTCTCAAGAAAATTTACATTTTTTTGCAACTTTTAAAAAAATCATGTATAAAATTGTATTTTATTTTTTAAAATGATAATTAACTTAAAATTTTAAAAAAAGTCATTCAGAGTTCGACTCCGAATTAAAAAAAAATTACATAATGTTTGCCAACAACCAAAAAGTTTAAAAATGACTAATAAATAATGCTTCCCGTTAATTTAATCATTTCTAATCTTAATTAAAAGTGGAAATGCTTAAATTAAATCAAATTATAATATGACAAAAAAGTCACAAAACAATATCGAAATGTTTTCTAAGTGAAATAAAGGAATTTCAAATTGACCTCTAAAGGTTTCGATGAAAAATGATCCATGTTTTGCTCCTTATTGTGGGATTTTCAGTCACAAAAAGTCGATACGCAATATCCCTCAATTTTGTAAATTAAAAAATACACAAATGTTCATCTTTTACAAACCTTTTCATATTTCCTGCCTGCATGAAGCCGAACTAGGCGAAAAACCGAACTTTTAGAGTCGGCAATTAATTGAAGTTTGTTTAACATGACATTAGAACAGAGCGGGCGGTGTAGACGAAGTTTATTTCTCATTTCAAATTTGTTCCGGAGGTATTTTTTTTTTGTACTTTAAAGTTTCTCTTAAAGTGACTTTTTAAGTCTTATATCATAATGTTTAGCCAGTGTTTCTCAACAACCTTTTTTTAAGCAACGACACACCTCGGAGCAAGTGAAAATATCACGGCAGGCTTAGCAAAATTTTTAAAGGGTATACGTCTATTAAAAAAAATACACACACAAAATGAACTTACTTTATGTTTCTATTCAACTATTTGTGTATGTAATAAAATACTATCACTGTGCCATTACTACTACTACTACTACTACTACTACTACTACACACACACACACACACACACACACACACACACACACACACACACACACACACACACACACATTGGATCGTGACGATTCCGATGTAATAAATTATGACCATGGAATATTAGTGTTTGCTCTGTTTTGGACATTGTGCTCTATCTAGAATAGATTTCTATCCTTTTGGAAATATTATCAATGCCGTGACAATATTTCGTGGCACACTTAAGGATCGCACGGCACACAGTGTGCCGCGGCACGGCGGTTGAGAATCACTGGGTTAAATTATAGTGGCGTGGGACTTTTCTGGGTTAAAATGAACAGTTGGTTTACTCACACCAAGAAGATTAATGAAGGATGGTAATAAGGAGGAAATTTTAGCGAAACAAAATAAGGAATATGTTTAGGAATTTACACGCTTGAAGTTGTGTCAGTCGCTCGTTTCAAGAAAATAAATCATGAAGTCCGTAGTTTTAACGAATTGTCACGAAGAGGAAATATTCATACAACAGATTAAATAATCTGATACAAAAAATAATATTAAAAAATGTTTAAGACAAATATAAGAGAATTCGTTGCTTACCGATGGTTTGCATACGTTTAAAAGCAGAAGAAGAGAGATAGTTTAAAATACGTAGCTTTCTTGGGTTGTTGAAAGAAAATTCTTTGAAGTACCAATTGGCGAATAATTTTACACTGTCAAGAACTTCAATGTTAGTCGCGAGGAACTGAAACTGAAACGAAATGTATCTTAACTTCATACACCCTTCTCTTATTAATTACATTTTCTCTTCATTTTATATCAAAAGTATTTCGCATAGGCTTTCTACTTTCTTCTTGGCTCAACGGTTAATTTCTGTGAAGACAAGGTTTTCATTGGTCCCAAAACATTTTCACATAGGCTCGCGAATTCCTTTCCGGCTTTTTCGTCACTTCACCCGAATTTGAAGTAAAGGAAGTTATTATTATTTCACACTCATTACAAAAGAAAGTTATAGATAATTATGTAAACTGAAATTATGATACTGCTAGTTTTCTTTCATATAGGCTACTACCATATAATTTTACTCTTTTTTACTCTAGGAAACATGATTGGCCATTTCTCAGTACCGAGGTTTTTATTATCAGTATTTTTTCAGTTAGTTCCAAAGAATAAATAGTGATTTGCACGTGTATGTAGTGACTGCTATGTTTTTTCACGCCCACAATGTATTCGCCTGCGATTGGCTAGTAAATCAACACTGCTTTTCTATACGACAATTTAGCAATCACATTCATCACTTTGAATTTTTCGGTCGTGAACTTGCTCACATGTTTCTTTGATACAAAATCAAATTGGTCAAATTTTAACCAATCAAATATTTTAGTGCTAAGTCAATTTTTCCCGCGTTTTCGCTGGGAGCCTATCGGTAGCTTTAAAAGAAGCAATTTTGCCAAAAGCCGCCAGTAGAGTCCAGCTATTTTCGCCTGTCCACACAAATCTACGACTTTACTTACAACATTTCATACGCACACACGGACACAGATTTTTGTAAAACATTATACATATCTCTCTCTGTGACTCAGCCAAGTTCATGAACCAGAACTCTATTAATTTCTCTAAGCAACACATTTCTTAATTAACTGTATTCTATTCTAACAGCAAACTCTATTCAACATAGAATCCTGAACATTCTTATTCAAGAGAAACTCTTTCAAACATTCAATCATAAATGAGAATACAGTTGAAGGGGAACAACTTTTTTTCCTTAATCATTACACTTCATTGCATGATTGTTTTGTATGTTATTTTTCAATATATATTTATTTGTTGATCCACATATGGAGTTTTGTTGTATGTTCTTGAATCGTTAAATGTACAATAGATATATGCGCTAAGAACAAGCATCACATGTATATATTTTAAATTTTATCCTCTATCTAATTTGCTTCTTGTTTTACTTCATCAAATAATTAGATATGAGTCAATCACTAACATTGTAGAATATAACTTCTACATTTCAGTGGATCACACTTATGTTTCCTTAATTCTGTCATTTAACAACGTCCTGATTGAGCAATAAATACTAAAATTGTATTTTGTGTATCTTCACGTGCAAAGTTCTAAAATCTTGTGCAACTTAAACACTTATAGGCTCCAAACCAAGTTTCAGCAATTGACATATTTTGATTGGTCCATTAATACCAAGGTCATGTTTCGGCCTGCGCACAAGTGTTCAAAACAGAGAACTGCCAAAATGAATAAAACACGTTCTCGAGCCTACCACGTGATTAACAAGTAAATAAATATGACATTCAAGCCAGTGCAATACCTACTAAAAACTACGTCACACATTCTGAGGTTAAAACTTACCCATTAACATAATCTCAGCCTCCTAGAATATTCACTCACTCAAATCGTTCACACAGCAGCTTTCGTTCATTCCTGCAAGTGAATTAACATTTAATTACTCAACTTCGCCAGTGAGAAAATCAGCCTGCGAAGAAAAGACTGACTCACTAACATGCACAGCGATCATGATTCATTCTCGCCAGTGAGTACAACAATCAAAGAAAGACAACTTGTGAACGAATTATGAATTGGAAACTAACGCTTAAAATTCAGCTCTCAAGAAACTGTTTAATTTTAACATACACAGTTTAATATTCATTAAACTTACACAACTTTCAGTCAACAATGTATTCAATACACATTCTTTCCACAAAACATTCGTTACTATTTCAAACAAACTAGGAAAGTATGTTGCACTAAATCTAAACTTCTACGTAACAACAACAAATCAGTTGTACACAGTGTAAATGCAATAATAATTTCAATATAACAGAACATGTATCACTTTTGTCCCTGATAAAAGAAAAATCTGTTTTTGAATTGATTTGGCGAATTTTGAATTTCTTTTGTTGTTTTCTGTTTCTTGGCACATTTGTTGAAAGTGAAAAAAAAAGTAGAGATTGAATTCAGGTCGTTCAATCCTCTACGACATTTTAACCGCACAACAGTTTACTTTAATTGCAATAATCCAGTGGGAACAAGTACTTTTATTCAGAAAGGGTTTTAAACAGACGACGAAAAATGTCGCATCGAAATTCTAAGACGCATTGTGATAGCGAAAGATGCCTTCCAGAAGGCAAGCAAAGTATTAAGAAACAGAAAAAAATTCGTTAGAAACAAAGGAAAGTGTTGTAACAGGGTAGGTAAGTTAGGGTTGATGTAGTAGTAATCCCGACTTGATATTATTTGAGTGTTGTTAAAGTAATTACCTCGTTTCTATATGTATTTGTACTGTTGGAAGAATCCTTTTCTCTTTTTTTATATTGAAAACGAAATGAATTAAAACGTACAGCAATAATATAAACAATAAAAACTTAAGACACGTGTTGACATAAATAGCAAGAATTTGTATTTTTTGTGATGTGAATTACAGATTATATTAGTAGGGTGTGTGTAAAATGTTCTTAGTGTGTCTTTTGTTTAAAAGCCAGTGCTTACTTGGTTTGGTTCCGAGAATTTCGTTTGTGAAGATGCGTTTGAAATTGTCTGTTTTTGATCTACCGGAGTGCTGACAAAGACGTGAGTTTCTACTGAGTACAACTACTTAGTTACTGGTCTACTACTAGAGTGTACCCTAGTCTACACTAATCTACTCTACTTTACTCTACTGATTCTCTTGTGGTGGAAGGGTCGTTTTTATGATGAGGGTAGGATGATGAAATACCCTTCTTTTCTATCATCAATGATGACAAGGTTATTTTTAAAATGATGTGATATCATCATTCTGGACCATAACCAGTGGCGTAGCAAGAGTAAACGTCACCCGGGGCGGTCTGTTCAAATGTCACCCCAATGACCCCGATTCACCCTATGCTGAATGGTTAGCTGTAGCTAAATTTTCATACATGCTCTACCTCTACTTTACTCTACTGACCGGTACGTTACTGTTTACATGTATGATCCAAGACAAAATCCAATACCACAAAATAATCAGTTCAAATCAAAAGATTTTTAAAATGCAACTGTTCACTTTCAGAACAACTAAATACAAAACACGGCAATACACAAAAGAATAACATTCGATACTTTGGTCTTAGAATGAATATTTTCTTGTTTTCATTGTGGAAAACTGGTCAATGACATCGTCAAAATCTGTTTGTCTTGTAAGCTCGTTTTCAATGGACAGCACAGCCAGATCCGACAGTCTCGACTGGCTCATGGTTGATGTAATTTTTTGTTGCTAATTTTCCGGTGTCCAATTTTACGTTGCATCATTTTCTGGGTACCATTTAATTATCAATGATGTTTGAAAGTATTTTTCTTGACAAAAATGTTCTATTTAACTTTTAAGCATTTTTCGGCAGATTGTAAATCAACTGCATTCTTTTAAAGGTTACCTAGAGAATTTATGCAAAGTTTATTTTTTTTTGTTGTTTTTCTTTATACAAGTAAAATAAATTCACATCTTATTTTGATGTTATTATGATTTTAATTTTAGTGATAATTTAAAAACAATAAATATTTATCATTAGTACCAATAATGGAAAATTAAGTTAAAATTTTTTAAAAGAATCGGTTTTGGAATCGGAAAATAGGCACAAATTTTTCCGATACCGTTTCCGATACCCCCCAAAAAGTTCCGATTTTTCTGATTATCGATTCCGATTAATCGTCCCAACACTAGTAGATATATTCAAAAGTATATCGCTCACTCAATGGAAAATTGTATCTCAGCGAATTGATACACAGGCAAGACTGAAATTGTTGAACTTTTGGCTTCGTATTTCGCTTTGTTGTTATTAATAATGCAGAGTTACCATATCATCCGATAAAATGTTACAACAATGTCTCTTGTTAGTAACCAAGATTGTAGCAACTGAAACACATGAAAGCTGAAAACATTTCCCGACAATTTATTAGAAAATTTCTGACGGGGGGACAAAACTGGGGGGTCATAAATTATTTCTGGGGGGTCATATGCCCGCCTGCGAAACCCTGTGTCTCCACCACTGTTTTCAGACTATTTTTGGCACCTTAGCCTGGTTGAAAACTTTTGTTGGGGGTGACATTGTGTCACCCCTCCTGTGCTGGCACCCAGGGCGGTCCGCCCCCTCGCCCCCCTTAGCTACGCCACTGACCATAACTGAATCCTGGACTATATATTTTTTTTATTCCCTACCGAATTTAAGTTCTTGTGCCACACACAAAAACTTAGTAGGAACAGCAAGTCATAATAGGCACAAAATAGCAATAAAAGACTCAACCACCACGTAAAATTTTAAAGGAAAAATATTTATTATACAATTACGAAAAAGGTACAAATACAAAATTTGCACAAAAATTTCCTTTTGTGTGCCTATTAGATAGGACTAGCAGTAGAGCCCAGCGTTGCCCGGGGATATAACAGTAAGAGATAGATCAAGTATCCACCATCATAAGGACTGAAAAATAAAATTGACAAAGATTTTTGTTTAAGGTTGACGGACACGCATGTCTTAATTAGTTTTTTTTTTTTTTTTTTACGAATTGGTCAAACCCAAACTCAAACAAAAACATTGTTTTCAATCGTTATGAGTCTACTGATTGAATAGAATGTTATTATAAATAATTGTCTTGTAAATGGAATTTTTAAAGCATTCTGAATGTAAAAATAAAGAAAAAAGTGTGCAAGACAATAAGAAGCACTACATTTTGTTGGAATCGGTTGAAAAATGTAGGTAGCCATTCTGTAATCTTTTAGTTTTACAATTTATGATTTTTACTTATTGTAATAAAAATTGCATATTTTGCTTGTGGTGATTCATAATTAGAATTCTGATTTGAATATATTTTCCACTCGTTGTTTCTAATACAAAAAATATTAACTTTATTTGGTTTTATTAATTATGATCTAACAAATCTTATTCATTTAGTAGCATTTCTGTAATAATAATCTTTTACAATTTATGATTTTTACTCATTGAATACAGTAAAAAAATTGGACACCATGTGTATTTAAAGTAGTTTCCCGTTCCGGTTATTATTTTTAGTTAGGACTTGTGTATGTTTAGATTTCATTATCTTTCCCTAAAGATAAAGAATTTATCCGATGTTTGTATTCGTACAATCAGTAGAGATTGATAGATTATTGTTTAAGGTTGACGGACACGCATGTCTTAATTTTTTTTATTTTTTACGAATTGGTCAAACCCAAACTCAAACAAAAACATTGTTTTCAATCGTTATGAGTCTACTGATTGAATAGAATTTTATCATAAATAATTGTCTTGTAAATGGAATTTTTAAAGCATTCTGAATGTTAAAAATAAAGAAAAAAGTGTGCAAGAGAATAAGAAACACTACCTAAAAAAAAAAAAAAAAAAAAGAAAAGTGAAGTTTTTGTTTTATCGGCTGAAAAATATAGGAAACTGATGTGAGTTGTCCCCTTCCAATTTCACGATGTCTCTTAATCGTGTTTTCAAATTGATTTTGTGCAAAAACAATTATATTTTTCCCATTTTTGACGCTGTTAGAACCACCACAAGGTAATTTTATGTAGTCCTGAGAAGTTTTGTTGAAATCGGTTGAAAAATGTAGGAAATATGATCCAATATATAAACGTTACACACACACACACACAATCTGCGTTTTATAATAAGTAAGATAACGTTAGACAGGATAACAATTTCTGAAAAAAAGGATTTACATCAAAAAATGGAAAAATAACGATGCCAGTTTAAACAAGGATTCAATGATAAAAAGAGAAAATAATTCAAGAAGGCAGAAAAACAAAGGTGAAAATGCCCCTCAGCAAAAAAAAACAAAATCACTTTTATTTGCTCCACGAGCGTTTCTGGGACATGGAGTAATTTTAGAAAATTTTCTTTCAAATTCAAAGTTTGTGCTTAAGAAAAATTTCTTTGAATTCTTTTTGTTCACTTGAATTCGAATGCCTTCTGCTCCTTGTTGATTTGCATTGTCCCATTGCTGTCAAAATGTCTTCTCTCCTTCATCTACTGACCTGTGTTATATTTATTCCGTAAAATAGGTTCACAATCCCCCATTCGGGTTCTTACTACAGTTTGAGACCACGTCTCTCATTGGTCAATATATATGAACAAAATATTTTTCCATAAACTAGAAATAGATCCTTCACAAATTTTGGTGGATTTAACCGCTGAGCCGAAAAAGATATACAAGTTTACCAATTTTTACACAAGCCGTTTGGCCTTCATAAAAATTCACTTCTCTCAAAAGAACGTTTGCTAAATAAACAACCGAGACAATTAAACATTTATCCCAGACTAACATTTCAAAAGTAGTAATAATAAAATTTTTATAGAACTATTATGTAATATAAATATGGCAGTGAATGCATGACAATTTCCTCATAAATGACTCGAGGCAGCAAAGATGCGGGTCTACAGAAGGATGCTGAGAATACCATGGACGGAATATGGGAACAACAAAGAAATTCTAAGGTAAAACGAAAACAAAAAAAGGCGTTTATAATCAGAATCAGAAAGGGACAGTTGAAATTTCTAGAAGACATAATGAAAAATAGGGATTGGAGAATTTGGCACTTACAGAAGGTATTGTTAATTTTCTTTTTTCACTCTGAACAAATTTCGGTAGTTTAGAGGAAAGGATGGAGGCAATAAAATAATTTACTGAAACCTGAACCTTGCCAGCTTACGTGCAAAGCTCCTTGACTAAGGAGTAATGGAGGGGTTAATTGAAGGTGAAGGAAAGGGAAAGAAAAACAAGTTTTTTCTACTACAATAAATTGTTTTAATAAATGTGATTTTTTAACCAATGACTATGTAAGCCGATTGGAATCTGAAATACTTGTGTTAACCGCCAAAATTTCTCGGGTAAATCGGAGCCGGACTTTGGCTTAAAAATCCCTGCAATACGACTATCGCGAGCAGTAGGAGTTGAGACGCAGTGGGTAGTAGGGGCGAACACAGATAAGTAGTAGATTCGATGCGGAGGAATTGTAGACGCGACCACGAGGGAGTAGTAGACGCGACCACGGAGGAGTAGTAGACGCGATCACGGAGGAGTAGTAGACGCCACCGCAAGGGAGTAGTAGACGCGACCACGGAGGCGTAGTAGACGGGACCACGGAGTAGTAGTAGACGCGACGCGGAGGAGTAGTAGACGCGACCACGGAGTAGTAGACGCGACGCGGAGGAGTTGTAGACGTGACCACGGAGGAGTAGTAGACGCGACCACGGAGTAGTAGTAGACGCGACGCGGAGGAGTAGTAGACGCGACGTGGAAGAGTAGTAGACGCGACGCGGAGGAGTAGTAGACGCGACCACGTAGTAGTAGTAGACGCGACGCGGAGGAGTTGTAGACGTGACCACAGAGTAGTAGTAGACGCGACCTCGGAGGCGTAGTAGACGCGACCACGGAGTAGTAGTAGACGCGACGCGGATGAGTAGTAGTAGACACGACGCGGAGGAGTTGTAGACATATCCACGGAGGAGTAGTAGATGCGACCACGGAGTAGTAGTAGACGTGACGCGGAGGAGTTGTAGACGCGATCACGGAGGAGTAGTAGACGCGACACGGAGTAGTAGTAGACGTGACCACGGAGGAGTAGTAGAAGCGACCACGGAGGTGTAATAGACGGGACCACGAAGCAGTAGTAGACGCGACGCGGGGGAGTAGTAGACGCGACGCGGAGGAGTAGTAGACGCGACCACAGAGGAGTAGTAGACGCGACCTCGGAGGCGTAGTAGACGCGACCACGGAGTAGTAGTAGACGCGACGCGGAGGCGTAGTAGACGCGACCACGGAGTAGTAGTAGACGCGACGCGGAGTAGTAGTAGACGCGACCACGGAGTAGTAGTATCTACCTGGATTGTACTCGTACCTGGAAAGAAACAATGCCGTTATTAATAAGAAAAGTTGAAATTAATGCATGCAAGATTTCACAGCTTTAGCATCACTCCTTCATAGCTAATGAACATTCCAGCCCACTCTCGTAAAAAGACACATACATAACTCCTCAAAAATCATAATATTTGTGAATATGCAAACCCTGAATGTTCAACTATCGCGATGAACTGGTGTAACCTTAGGGAGGTGCCGTGCCTTGAGCACCTCTTGGGTCTCAAACTGAACCCAGACCTCAAGTGGAACTCTTATATATGATACCTCGCTAAAAATTTTGGAAAATTGGTCGGTTCCTTGTATCGACCTAGTAGGTACCCGACACTTCCTGCTATATTTACAAGAGCCAGATCAAATCGAGAATGGAGTAAGAAGTAAGTAAATGGCGCAACTACTTGAATCCGAGAATGCCAGTCTACTAGGGCGGCTAGCTAGTTCACATTGCAACTGCTCAGTTACATTTGTGTTTGTGCAAGACCCAAAGAGCCCACCTGTGGTTTATATTGCAACTATTCTAGGCGGACCTTAGTTACAGTTTCTGGGAGAGAGCGTTTTATCTAGCGTGATCAACAATCTGAACAAGCCCAGCACACTCAAACCCACGGTCATGATGACTTGTGATTTCGTGTTAGCACAACTACCGACGGCTCCCAAGGGTTCCGTCTACCCAATTTCACTCACAAGGCTTGGATCAGCCCGTGGTATGGTTTTGAGGCATTTTTCAAAGGTGCCGTAAGCTGGGATCGACTCATCCAGAACGATAACATCAAGAAGTCACCTTCCTGACAAATCAACCATGGTGAGATTCGAACCCGGGAAAACGAACGTTCTAACCACTCGGCCACACGCCCGTCGAGAATGGAGTACTGCTGTCATATATGAATAGGAGCTGCACAGTCTTTCCTTTCTAGTCTCGATAGACTCCAAAAGTGTCTCTACGCCCTTGTAGGTGATGAATTATTTTCCACCCCACAACACCTTTCCCACACTGTTCTATTGATATTTCCTTTAAAAAGTATTCAGACGAATCACATCTCTTAGTTCCACTAGTTCTAACCTAAGACCTGCCATACCACGCACGTAGTGTTATGATGGACCTTACTTGACTCCTATTTTAGTTAGTAAAATACAGCATATACGCATCACAAGAACAAGGTGAGATATTTATGTACAAAAATTTTATTTTTACTACTTTAAAAATATTACTCTTGAATAGATATTTAATTGTCTAGGTTGTTTTTTAATAGACGTTCTTTTGAGAGAAGTGTATTTTTAGGAAGGCCAGACGGTTTGTGTTAAAAATTGCTACAGTTATCCATCTTTTTGGCTTAGTGCTTAAACCCTGTCAAAATTTGTGGAGGATCCATTTCCAGTTTATGCAAAATTAATTTTCGTATATACTGACCAATGACAGACGTGGTCTCAAGCGCTAGTAACACCCCGAATAGTGGGGTCCTTGTTATCCTAATTTATCAAATATATAGAGCCCAGGTGCGAGAAGACATTTTGACAGCAAGCAGACAAGGCAGGCCAACATCAGGGCAGAAGACTTTTGACACCAAAAGAGAGAATCAAGAAGGCACCACTTGCAGAGAGACTAAAGAATTTTGAAGTTTAAGTGAAAATTCTCCTGCAGTTGGACAACCAACAACAAAAAGAATTCTAAGAAGTTTTCACAAGCACGAACTGTGTGAATTTTATAGGGACTTTTAAAAAATTATTGTATGTTTCAGAGCCACTCAGGGGCAGGTGAAAGTGAAAGTGAAAGTGAAAGTAGGTCTTCTCGTTTTTTTTTCTCAACGGTGGGTGCTCCTTTGTTTTTTTACTGCCCTCTTGAATTGTTTTCTCTTTTGTCGTTTTAAAAATCCTTGTCTTTTACCAAGCTGTGATTTTCTCCATTTTTCGATGGTAATCCTTTTTATCTGAAATTGTTATCCTGCCTTGTTAAGAGCACAAAAAGACATTTTGGTGCAGACAGAGTGGTTGTCTTGTTTTGTAATTCCAAGACCCGACTCTCCAAAAGCGTCTCCGAGCTCTTGTAGGTAACGAATTATTCTCCGCCCGTCAACTCCTCTCCCACAGGCGGGATGTGGCAAGCCCCTTACGGCTCTACTGCTACTTCCATGGAAAGTGCTTGGACGAACTACATTCCCTGGTCCTGCCAAAGCAAACACCGACGGTAAGAACACGCTATGCCATTTACATAGTAGCTAACCACCCACATTCCCTCCATATTTCATCGGTGGTTGGGTTGAAAAGTAAGTTCCACTCACCTATAAACACAAATGGTCTCCTAACGTAACCCTCTACCACGAGCGGCCCTCGGGCCTTGTAAAGGGTGACTGTCACTGTAAAAAATTGCACCTATTATAACTTGTTGTTCCTGCTAAATTTCATTACTTGGCATAAGAACATAGATTTAGTAGGAAATAATATATATATATATATATATATATATATATATATATATATATATATATATATATATATATATATATATTACGATAAACGTGCAATCAATTTACAAATTCATGAATTATTCACACAAAAAACAATGCAAAGGTTAATGATTTAATTGGCGAGAAATCCATCGTCGCAAACAATTCAAATAATATACAAAAAACCTCCGAATCCGTTATGAATGAAATGATCCTTGTTTCTATAAATTTCTGCCGTATTAGTTCTTATTTTTACTACAAGTTTTCGTCCATTCCTACATACATCTTCAGGTATAGAATAGATGTTGTTCTTGTTTTTCTCTTAGTAATAAGAGGACAACGAAAATATATGTATTGTATCCGAAAATGCTATTGGAAATGAGTTATTGTTTTTGGAGCGCGTATATTTTAAATCAATTAATTTATAATATATATATATATATATATATATATATATATATATATATATATATGTGTGTGTGTGTGTGTGTGTGTGTGTGTGTGTGTGTGTAAAAATATATAGAAAATAAGAAAGAACTCGTTAGGTAAATAATCCAAAGTTCTTGTTTTGAAACATGAGAACTCTTATGTAGCGTTGGAATCATATTTTAAATAAATAATTATATATATATATATATATATATATATATATATATATATATATATATATATATATATATAATTAGAAGTATTTATTATCAGAAGGATTCTGTTGTACAAGTTCAGTGGCATAAAATTTTTTTTCTAATGTGTTTGAAAGTAGAATATTTTTGGTTTGTGTTATGTTGGTGAATGAATATATTTTTGAAGTGATAAATAAATCTATCAGTAAAGACGATATTTAACAAAAGAAAGTAATATTTGTGTTAAAGTGACTTATTTGTGGTCTTCGTGTTTGGAGCTACTCCATTCCACGTGCTCTTCTTGTAGGAGGTCTCGGCTGAAAAGAGGAAGTCTCTAAATTTCACACCTGTAGGATGGTTTCCTTTGTTCTATGCAATCATAGGAATCAGAAGTTTCTTTTATTTCATGTGTTCGCGAGATCAATACAGTAGCGAAACACATTCATTCTCTTCATATTCCATTGATAAGTTCCACTCGAGCAGATTCTTCCCCTCCCCGAACCGCTGCTTTGTGGAACCGACTCCCAAGAGGATGCTTCCTAGATCGCTGCAATCACAACCTGTTCAAGTCCAGTTCTTTCCCGCATATCCCCATAAACTGTCTCTTACAATGCAGCCCTCTACCTTGAGTGGTTCTTGAGCCTTGTACAGGGTGGAAATCATTGTAAAATAATCGGAAAGGATTTCAGGATACTCAATAAAAAAAAATATGTATGCTTTTAAATTTTTTTATTTTGTATGTGTACGGTGTGTGACATTTTTAACCATACCGTGACATGACATGACATGACATTAAAAATAATTCTATTATGTGTGTGCGTGCGTGTGTACATGGCAGTGATTAGTTAGTAGTTTAGTTTCGCCGACTAGTAACTTTTTAAATCAATAGTGAGTTCGGTCCTTAGTGTTTTTAGTTTACTAAAACATTTTTTAGGGAGTGTCGCACTCTTTTCATTTTTCGCCTTGTGCCGGGTTATTTGTTGTAAGGAAACTTACACCACATTATGCATGTATCTCCCAACTACCAAGTTATTTTTGTTTTCATGTTTGAATGAAATGTAGGTGCGTACTTTACTGACTTAAGTTTAAACTTTTCTTGTTTACTTACAAAAAACAACAACCGTACAATCGAAACACGGTTAAAAGATCTTTCATCTTAATACAATTTTTAAATAAAGTAAAAAGATAAAAAATAATTTCTAATTCCAAACTATATTCGAGGAAAAATAAGAAGAAAATCCAAGCTTATAAAAAAATTCTTAGTAAAAAAAAAGAAATTAAAAATTTCCCATCATTCCCTGTTAGAAGCAGACTGTCACTTCCTTGTGAAATCAAAACATTACAACAACTAAATTTCTAAAAACCTAGGCAACTTGGTAAAAATTTGAAGAATTTGTCATCTTCTCAAATTAAAGACCACCCAAAATGGAATCAGACAGCATTGGCAAGGGAATCCGACCAACTGGACTGACTATTTTGTCCGGTAAGATATATTTTTCATTTATGTAAAGTACTTATTTCCGAGTTGAGGTTGACTCATTCTTTTTATTTGTCCATTCAAGTCAGCTCCTTTCTTCTTTCTTTCAAAATAAATGTTATTTTTCAGACATTTATTTATATTTAACTAAGACTTAATTGTACTTCTATAATATTCCGCGAACAACGTTGAAACAAAGAATCCGTTAAAGTATATAATTGTTTTTATTTGCTTAAAAAATAATTTTATTTTCTAAGCGTAATGTTTCTCCTTGAACGTTAGACTACCGTGGAGTTTCGTTTCCTATGGATGACCAAAAGCGTAGAAAATGTATCCACTTTGCATGAACAAACAATTAGCATTTAAATTAAGAAGAAAACCAAACAAACAAACGATAAAATATTTACATTTGATATATTCCTGATTATCATTAAAATGACTACTTTGGCTACTTTAGCACATACACATACGGATGTCATTTTTTTTTGAATGGGTGTCAAATTTTGGCGCGTTAGGTATTTCGTATTAAAAATAACGTAAACTTAAATTTTCGTCTGGACTTTCTTTTAATTAAAAAAATGTCCCTTTTGCGTTTTAATAAAAAAATAAGTTTTAAATTTGTACTTTATTTATCAGATTTCAAGTTTTAAAATTTCATATACACTGAAAAACAAAATCCATTTAATTTTAATGCGTTTTGATTTTGAATAATGTTCTTTCAGTAAATCAACAGTTGCTTGGTTAGCGAACAGAAAGAGTATTTTTAATTTCTTTTTAAAATTGAAAGAAAAATCAAATGTAACTTTTTACATTAAAAAAAAAACCTCATCTGTTATGTGCTAAAATAATAACAAAATAATATTATTCAAAAAAATATATATAATTGAGGAGAATTTGGTTTCGGTTCGAAATTCCAACGTATATATCACCTGAAGAAGGCCGGAGCTTACAACGGCCGAAATGTCGTGAATATGTCAACAGTCCGAACAGTAGTGTTGTAAATAAATATAGTTACAATATTACAAACATCTTAGAAATATAGACAGATGTTAAAAAATTGTTTATTTTAATTAAAATTATAACAAAAATTTCGAAACTTAAAGAAATCGCTTGAAAAATTGTTGTGATATTTTTTTTTCCTCAGTACGTTTTTTTTTTGTAAATCGCATGTTTTAGTTTTTTACACGAGAACTTTTTTTTGTGACGATTTATTGAACATTTTTATTTTTTAGGCATCGAGACAACCTTCTGATACTATCTCTGTTTTTTTTTTGACATTTCAAAATGTTTGTGATTTGTAAGCCGTCGAATCACAGACTTAATAACTGTGTATAAAGATCTTCACATAATTTTGATTTGAATTAATTAGCCCCTCTTTTGTTGTCTTCTAGAGCTGATTTTAAAAATATTTTCTAATACAGAAAGGCGTACGAGAGGAATTTTTGCACAGGAAGAGTGGCGGAAAGAATTTGACCTGAAGAATTTCTAACTTGTTCTGAAAATAACCAGCATTTGCACTGAAAATGTACAATTGATTTAGTCTAGAGACTAGTGGTTCCCAACCTTTTTGGTATGCTCCACCTAATGATCTCTAAAATTCTGATGACCCGGCCCCTCTGTGGCATATAATTCTTCTTCTTATTATTATTCAAAAAGTGAACTGAACTCCTATTCACATAGAGGAAGCTTAAAAAAAAGTCATTAACTTGACTTACCTTAAGAATTTGAGACTGCATATATCTATAAAAAATATTGTTACTAATTCAAATATATATATATATATATATATATACGTAATTACACATCTACATACATGCATACACATATATTTTTATGTATGCATATTGTATATGCAACGTTATGTATTAATTTACGCACACACACACACACACACACACACACACACATACAGGCTCACTAGAAAAAAATTCTGGGATTGCCTCCCTTAAAAATCAAATTAAAGTGGGGTGTGTAGCCTATGTTGGGAATCATAGCTCTAGACAGTTGTGGGTTGCCCAGGGTGTAACTTTGCCAGTGGACCCCACTATATCAAATAAAATTCCAATAAAGAAACAAACACAGGCAACTGTTTTTGTAATAAAAAGGAATAAGAACTTTATAAAGTCGTCTGCACGCTATCAGTTACTCTTGTTCAATGTGAGAAGACATTTTCAAAGTTAAAGATCATAAAGACAAAGTTAAGAAGTTCACCATCTGAGGAGAATTTGGAATCATACATGTTGTGATCTAAAGGAATTGTTAGATGAATTGGATGCGGACGCTATTATTGGCAGATTCTCACAATCATCTAGTGAAAACAAATGGTTGCTCTTAACATAATGAAAGGCATATGTACAGTACAAGCACACAAATTACTAAGAAATACACATTTTTTCCACAAAAATTTTAATTTTTCCATATGCATTTTTACAAAACTTTATTCATTTAGGGATGTCAATGAACACTCATTTGACACTTTTGTAATGTCAACAAATACTTGTTGTCACTTTCATAATACTTGTTGTAGTAGAGACTTTGTAATCGCAGATACAACTATAGTACGCAGTTGAACAATGCTGGTGTCAGACGCCTTCGAATAAAACTCACACTAATAGTACTTGCTCGATAATGCTCGCTTGAAAAGTAACCACTGAATAGTAATCCATATAATTATCACTTAGACGCCATGCTAATTCCCATATATACATTTCCTTTACCATCATGTGATCTACTTATTCAAAATGGGATCGCCTGTGTTTGCTCACTGGTTATCTGTGTTCAAATTTTAGTGTTGGCAGTGACACTTTTATTCCTATATAACAATTTGTTATGAAAATTAAATGATGGCATGGAAGTTGTGGGTACAATCAATATTTTTAGAACCAGTCCACCACTGGTTCAAGACCCTTGTTTTTGAACACCTTTTGAAAAAAATAAATAATTTTATTTTCCCATAATGCAAATGGAAACCAAAGGAAAAGTGTTTCTGGTCACATGCAAAGTTTGTGACTCCACTTCTGGAAAGGAGATCATCTTTCTCTTGATACTTTCGAATCATTGGATTCAGATGTGTTTTGCAGCAGTCCCAAGGAAAGGAGATCCAGTCATCCTCTCTCAATGTCATGTTGACTTGAAGTTGACCACTCTCTTACATCCAAGTTAGTACATACACGTGTGTCAATAATAAAACTGACCCTTAATTTTCCAGCCAAGTTTTTATGTTATTTATTGTGGTCCAACGACATTAACATCTGATACCGGACAAAAAAACAAAACAAAATACCAAACCCACTACACACCGATGGGTGTCTTCCTTGTAAAAAATGCTTAGTAAGATAACCTAAAAAACAATTCAGACCTTACTTGATGGTGCTCACATGGTCTTGTGCCATGCTGAGTTAAGTAAATATGATAGGTATATCACGATTGATTTGCAGTGAGCAAGGTGATAACAACTGTAATGACTTGGAAACTCATTTTATTCTCAGCATTTGGTTAGCTAATCATTGTTGCAGACACCTTCTCAGACAATATCCAGTGAACCAGCCTCTGTGACTTGTACTGAAACTATGCTGAGAAGATACAATTTCTGGGAGAGATCACATAATCCAGCATGATCAGTAGTTGAATAGGGACAGTACACTTAAATGCTCGGTCATGATGACTTGTGACTTAGTGCTAGCACAACCATTGACAACTCCCAAACTGTTTTGTTTACCCAGTTGTACTCGTAAGGGTTGGGTCAAGATGGCATAATTTTCAGGTACTTTCCAACGGTGCTGCAATGCTGGTATCAAAACAATAATACATCCATACAGAAATGAAGGACTACCATTTTGCATAACATATCAAGAACCATACAACAAACATGAATCAAGTAATACAGAGTAGATAACTTAAAGTAACTGTTCAGGATTTTTTTTTTTCTTAACATTCACTGAATACAAGGCCCAAGAGCAACTCAAGGAAGAGGATTACTGTGTGGTGTTGCATAAGAAAGGGCAAGAAGTAAAATTCTTGGGGCTGTACAGGGAAGATAATGGCTAATTCTAGACTTGAAGTGGTCAAGATTTAATTAGTGGATAACATTTCAGAGTTCAATTAGAGATGTTAGAAATATATTGTGGAAGTAGACTTTAGAAGGAATCAGAAACCCAATCCTAAACAAGAAACAATGGATACCAAACCAATTGAGACATTGATATTTGTAGAGGAGATTAGCCTTTAGAATCTGTTTCTGTATGATTTATACTTGGAAAAGTTCCACTGTCTATTTTTAAGGAAAAAGTTTATTAACATATTTTTATGCAAGTTATATCTGGAAAAATCATTGTTATACAATTTTTATTTATTCCCCAAATTGTTAATACAATATTCATTTGCAAAAAAAAAAAAAGTTATTCTTATACAACTTAAAAATGTGTTTTGGCCTTAAATAATGCACAAAGGGTTGATAAATCATAAAACAAATGAACATTCTGTCATAAGCAATGTAATGAACTGTGTTCATTGACAGATTCTTACCCAATCTGCCTTTCATAACACTTTTTTCTCTGACCTTTTTGATGATTCTGCTTAATGTCAATTTTACAAGAATTTCTCATCATAAGGGAATTGTACAATTTCAGCTGAAAATGAAAATCACTATTTGATCAACATAATGGCTAAAATCTTTTTAAGGAATTTATGTTGCTAATTTTACTTCGTAAATCTATATAATAAATGCAAAAAATTTTGTGTCACAATTTTTCAATTAAAGGGACATAACTCTCTATCTTTTAAATATCTCATCTTTTATATAAATAAATGTGAATGTCAGTATGTCAAACTTTTTCAACTTTACTCCTAGACGCTGTAGCTTAACATATCATACTATTTTGGAATCAGCCCAACTCCATCAGCAAATTAAAAACATTCTGAGCCAGATCTGGGCCTGCAATCCTGAAATTTTGAGTTCCCAAGTTTTCCTTATTCTGATTGTTTTCAGCCATTTTTATCTGATTTTTTGTGACAAATATTTTTTAACGATAACAATTTTTATAACTTGGAAATAAATTTGAGAATAATCAAAATTAATTGCAAAATCCAGTGAAAATCACCCATAAAATAAAAGTAATTGTTTGTATGGAAAGTAAGGACATATGTACATCAAATTGTCTATAAATTAAAATATTGGCAGAAAAATTACCAATGAACTTTTAAAAATTAAGCTTCAATATTAATACAATGCAGCAATCAATTTTGAGTTCTTCTGTAGCTTATTGTTGCCTATTGCATATGGCAGCAGTATGCCTCGCAAAAAGAAATCTCCACCAACAGAGGACCAGATTGCAACCAAAAGAACTAAGGCTGCAGTAACGAAAAGAAATTCCCATGCAAATGAAAACCCAGATCAAACGGCAGCCAGGAGAGTTTCCAATGCTGAGAATATGCAAAGATTTAGGGACTCTTAAACTCTTGAACAAGCTGAAGGCCCAATCAAGAGCCCTCCACAGGAGTTAGCTTTAATGCTGCCCAATAGGGCAACTTTTAAGTTAGTATTTTATATCATTTAGAGGTGATTTTAGAAGTTAAGCAATGTCAAGCCTAGTCAATACCTACATGGTTGACAACTTGGAAGTATCGTGTTCTGTAAACCTTGATGTGTGGGGGGTGTAATGAATAATGGCTCTGAATTATTCATTGCAGAGCAGAGTTCCAATTCCAGTCAAGTCTGTTATATTCACTTACATGTAAATACCATTGGAAAAGGCATGAATCCAACTCTTCTTCTCCCAGCTGTTAGTTAATTAGTAAGACTTGTATGACTAAATCATTATTATCTCAAAAAATAAAAAATTCTTACAATTTAAAAAATATTTTCTAGCTTTAAATAACCTGCAAAGGATTGATGAGCCGTAGAAAATGAATGAATCAATTAATTCTTGTTTAATCTGAAAACCTTTCAGTATGTGGGTACACAGATATTTCAACTATTAGAACTTGATTTGAATCTGAGGGGAATTAAAATGTCAACACACTGAATGTGTTTCAATTTCCAAATACAAATACAGAGCCTTATCAAACCTGTTGAAGGTACCCTTTTCTGGTTGACCACCACCAATGGGCCAAAGTATTAGGTTAGATCATCATGCCATCTAGCCTTTGGCTGCCTTCTAGTAATTTTCCACTGCCTTGCTGTCTACCTGTTGTCTCTGAGATGAGAGTCGTAGCCAGTCCTTGTATGTTTCCCTTTCTTGATGGTCTCAGTTAAGTCCTTCACTCCAGTCTGCTGTCAAATACAGATATTGCTTTTGCTGTCTTGATGCCGAGTATGATTCCCTCCATTTTACATTGGTCCACTGCAAGAATCTCTGCGGTGGTGGTGTTGAGAACCCATCTCTCACTTTTATAAGTTATCACTGTCAGAACATATTTATTAAACAGTTTTTTTTCTTGGTTTCTATTGTTGACTTTGGACTTCTCATGATGCTATAAACTTTTCCAAAGGCAGCCCAACCAAGAACAATCTATCTTTCAAACTCCAGAAATAGAGCACCATCTCTTGCAATCTTCTTTCCAAGATACACATGTCTATTTTCTTTATGATCTTTCTATCTACAATGATTGGCAATGGTTTAATGTCACTGTTAAACATGACCTTGGTTTTCCCAACATGTATGTTAAGGCCAACTGGTTGGCTCACAGTGGGGATAACATTGAGCATCTCTTCTAATTCTTGTGATGTATGGGTTATTAGTGTTTAATTTACTCAAGATTAAATGTACAAGTAATATAGCTGGTTTGCAATAAATGTTCAGATAAAGATTAGTATGTGACCATATTACAAAATAAGGGGTATAACACTAACCAGGTGCCATTCTTGGCCATTGACACAGACCAAATTCTTGCATTCATACATTATTCAACATTTGTTACACTTGTTGATGCAATACAGCAAAAGTTATAGGTGACACTAACTAATCAAGTCAGTTGCCATCCATTGTTCAATACAAGTAGACCTGTTGGAATAGGACATCAACTTTCTCTTGCAGTAATATAAAAGGGAGCCAAACAAGTGATCACAGCATTCTGCCAACAAGACAAGAAAGAACAGAAATAAGGCAGACAATATTGAGAAATAGAATATTGGCTAAGAAGAAATCCCAGTACAGTTTCTCTATAAATTTGAGAGAATGTGTCTTTTCAGTCATTTTGATGCCAACTGGAACCAGCAACTTATAATCAACAGGCATGGCAGTTCTCCAAAGTGACCATACAGTCCTTAGAAGGATCACAATATGACCAACACATTTTAAATGACTAATTGAACAAAAGCAGAATATGTATACTTTAAAAGGTATAACATTTGTTTGCACCGGACCCTTTCCCCAGATTGAGTCTTCTTGTGTCATATAACACTGCTTAAGGTTCAGAGAAAAGATGCTGTACTGGTATGAGGATTTCTATAAGTTATCATTATTTACTTTTGGACTATTGTCCTCATATTTGTTGTTATTATCACCTGATTGCTTTCTCTCTGAATTTATGGGATGAGCAGTTATAATTATTTAGATTATTTACTTTTGGACTATTGTCCTCATCTTTGTTGTTATTATCACTTGATTGCCTTCTCTCTGAAGTTACGGGATGTGCAGTTATCATTATTTCGATTGTTTACTTTTCAACTATTGTCCTCATCTTTGTTGTTATTATCACCTGATTGCTTTCTCTCTGAAGTTACGGGATGTGCAGTTATCATTATTTCGATTGTTTACTTTTCAACTATTGTCCTCATCTTTGTTGTTATTATCACCTGATTGCTTTCTCTCTGAAGTTATGGGATGAGCAGTTATCATTATTTAGATTGTTTACTTTTGGACTATTGTCCTCATCTTTGTTGTTATTATCACCTGATCACCTTTTGTCTGACTTTCTGGGATGAGGAGTTATTATTATTTAGATTGTTTACTTTTGGACTATTGTCCTCATCTTTGTTGTTATTATCACCTGATCACCTTTTGTCTGACTTTCTGGGATGAGGAGTTATTATTATTTACACTATTTGCATGCACACTATTATCCTCATCTTTGTTGTTATTATCACTTGATTGCCTTCTATCTAAATTACTGGGATTTGGAGTTACCATTATTTACATGCAGACTATTTATAAAAATTTATTTTTTACAAAACTTATTTTTTCATGCAAAATATCAGAAAATCTTTTTAAGGATAGAATGTGAAAGGAGAATATCTTATCTCACTAATCCTGAATATTGAACAAGGTGCAAATAAGTCTCAGCCACTGTGCAAAATTGAAAAGAACAAACAATTATCAAAACACATATTTAAAAAAACAAATACAATATTTTACCAACAAGACATTATGCAATAATTTCCTGTGTTCATCTT